AGGGGCTGGGAGGGGTTCTGTGGGCACAATATGGTGAATGACCTGATGGTCCCAGCCCACTGTGGTAAGGAGAGAGTGATTGAGCGGGGACCACGTAGCATCTCTCACAAAGTCTCTGTGGGCTCGGCTTCTAAACCTAGAAAAAAGAAAAAAAAAGTTGAGGCATGGTAAAGATAAGAAGAAAAAGCAGACCTGGAAAAGAAAGAACCCAGCACATCCACGGCACATTTTTTGTGTGTGTTACACACATTTCACCATCTGTGTAGCAATGCAGCTATCCGCAGGGGATGGCAGCAATCATCTGATCTGGTCCTCTATTTTCACAGAGGAAGAAACGGTGGATGGAGCGAGGTAGTGCTACGGGCCAGCATCAGGCAGCAAACCATGGCAAAGAGGGGAGTACAATTCAGGTTCTTCCTTCTGGTGCCTTTTACCCCATGGCAGGTTGCATTTCACATATGCAGCTCTTATGTGGAAAGGGCAGACTGTCCCCTTGTGGGAGGGCTGGAATGCTAGACTTAGAAATTCCCCCCATATTCCTCCTCTACCAGGGACACAGCTGGTTGTGAATCAGCCCCAGGAACAGAGTGCTGGTCTCAGTCAACTGTCTGCCTGCTTCCATCACCCAGGCCCTTCAGGTACAGATGGAGAATTCTCTCCAAAGAGACAACACATTTTTCTGAAAAGAAAAAAGATTTGCCTGCCTGCTGCTCCCCCTGCCTGATTCCCAGTCACAGGATTTTACTTCATACTTACACCTCAGAAAGGTTTGAGTCCAGCACAGCAAGTGAGCAGTCTTCACTGAGAGAGGCCAGGAAGGGAATACTAGGAGAGGGAGACAGCACTGTGAAAGGTAAAGCCCACGGATCCCAAGACATAATCTTAACTGGCCCAGCCCCACCCCCACTGTACACTGACCCAGAGAAGGCGGCCTGACCCCCGCTTTTGGCTAAGCCTAGCTACCACTCAAGTCTATGTTACAGGTTCCAAGGAAAGATGAAGGAAATGAAGCAAAGCCAAGTTGACAATCATCCTGGCAACAAACTACCCCATCTGGTCTCTCTACAGCTTCAGCAGTAACCCAGAAACACACGCTCTTCCAACCTCATAGTCCTAGAAGCCCACAATATTAATCATTTTGGGTGTTGAGCAGGAATGCAAACAGAGTTTAGCTATTTTCAGAGACTGTACAACCTGAAAAAGGAGTAGGGTCTTTGACATTCTGAAACCTCAGCTAGAACACCATCTGCTTTAAGGAAGTACCTAATCAGCTAATACTTTACCAACATACTCATCCCCCCTTGCTGTTCCCATTCATATTCACCAGGCCCCTGATGAAAAAAACAGTACCTGTGTGGGGAGAACACCAGCCCAGTAACACACTGGGAGTGTACAGCTGAGCTGAGGGCACAGCTTGTACTCTTGGTATCCACAAGGGAGACAGTCCCATTCTCGTCACCTACAGAAAAAAGAAGGAGAGTGTCACACTGGTAAAGAGCATGGGCTTTGGTGTTAGCTAGACCTGGATTTCAATCCCACTTCCACAAGAGTGGACAAATTAACCACTCTGAGCATCCGTTTCCTCTTCTGCAAAGTAGGAATGGTAAGTCACTGGATGGTTGTATAAATCAAATTAACGGGTGAAGCAGTTATTATTTTAACCACAAACTATGTCACCCATATGCATGGCCTCATCACCATGATAGCTCCACACCTACCCACAGTAGAACAGAATTTCCTATACAGCAATCCACTTGCTTTGTGGCTCGGTGACTTGTAGCCATACCCAGAATACGGGAGCTATAATAATGAATCAGGAATTGAATCCACTGGGGAAAAAAACATCATGTTCTTTAAACTTAAACTAAAACTACTTTGGGATCATCCCACCTCTCCAGCCCTCCATTAACACAATTCATGAAGTTAGCTCTTTCTCTCTTATCATCCCCCTTCCTGGAGTCGATGTGAAGTCTGACACGCTGTCTTACCAAAGACAAAGACTTCACTTTGCTGAGGATGCCAAGCCAGGGAAGTAGGAAGGTAGCCAGAGGCATTGCAGCCTGCAAAGGAGAAAAGAGAGGTCTGGAACAAAACTCAGAGCCCAGAAGAAGCAGCTTCTCAAACAAGGTCACTCTAAATCCCAGAAGCACCTCCACTTGGTTTCCCAAACCCTGCTAAGGCAGTAATGTCCTTATCCTTGAGCCTCATAGCCTACATTTATACACTGGCCTGCTGCCCTTCCTGGATATGAGTCACAGGCAAATCTCAAGAACAAAGGATGAAGATAACAACTGTGGCCCCTTTGTCCACCCATCTAACAAAGTAAATCTCCCACCTGGGAACTGGCCCTTTTATTGCAGAGAATGGAGTTAGGAGAGCTTCAGTGGGAAAGAAGGAGATTATGTCACTTATGTCACAGTGACTAGACTGGCCATCTGGCAACTTTGATTTGACTCTGGCCAAAGAAAGCCTCTTCCA